TGTCCTAGTTCTGCAACCTCCTTCTACAATTCCACCCTCTCCTCTCAACTAGACATCATGGTACCTTGTACATTTAAATGCCGCAGGCTCCCCCAACAACAACCCTGGCACACCAAGCTCACTCGATACCTCCAAAAATGCTCCAGAACTGCTGAACGCTGTTGGAGAAAGTCTCACTGTGCATCTGACTTTCTCCACTATAAATTTATGCTGAGCTCATCCAGCTTGGCTCCTTCCTCTGCAAAAGCTAATTACTTTAATACCCTCATAACCACACTCTCCCGCGAACCCAAACAACTATTTCACACATTTAACTCTCTTCTTCAACCTGCTGTTCCTCCTCCACCTACTAACTTGACCGTCTCAGACTTTGCAACTCACTTCACTGACAAGATCTCTACAATCAGAGAAGAGATCTCTCATCTTTCTTCTTCCCCTTACAATACTTCCCCTAACTTCACTCCCTCTGATGTTCTATGTTCATTCGCACCCGCTACATTGGAAGAGGTTTCTGCTCTGCTCCAGTCCTCCCGCCCCACCACCTGCTCCCTAGATCCAATTCCCTCTCATCTCATCCGTAATCTGTCTTCTTCTCTTTCTCCACCTCTCACTAAAATGCTCAATCTCTCTCTCTCGTCTGGTATATTTCCATTGCCCTTCAAACATGCAACTGTAACCCCAATTCTAAAGAAGCCCAATCTTGACCCTAACTCCCCATCCAACTATCGTCCTATCTCGCTACTGCCTTTTGCATCCAAGATCCTTGAAAAAATTGTGTATGCGAGATTGACAGACTTCCTCGAGTCCAACTCTCTTCAGTCTGGTTTCCGTGCTAAGCACTCTGTGGAAACGGCACTGACCAAAGTATCCAATGATCTACTCGCTGCAAAATCTCGAGGTCACTACTCTATCCTAATTCTCCTTGACATGTCTGTGGCTTTTGACACTGTTGATCATCAACAGCTTCTTCTCATCCTCTGCAATATCGGTCTACAAGATATTGCTCTCTCCTGGTGATCCTCCTACCTCTCCCAGGGCTCTTTCAGTGTTTCTTTCTCTGGCTCTGCTTCTTCTCCTCAATTCCTCTCTGTTGGTGTCCCCCAAGGTTCAGTCCTTGGTCCCCTACTGTTCTCCATCTATACTGCCTCCCTTAGTAAATTCATTAGCTCCTTGGCTTCCAATATCATTTCTATGCAGATGACACGCAAATCTAC